GGGGCCCATTCCTAAGCAGGGCCAACCCTAGGGCTGCGTGTTCTAGCAGATTCTGACTTCCCCCAGGGGTGGGGGAAGCCTAGTGCGTGGGGGTATATGTGCCTGGTTGTACATCTGATGCAGGTTGCCATCTCTCTTGAGGGGGTTGTCCAATGCTTGTATAGTCTACAGGTGTGTGTGTGTGTGTGTGTGTGTGTGTGTGTGTGTGTGTGTGTGTGACTGTGGGTCTGTGTGGCTGTCAATTTGTTGGCTACACATTTGCAGCACAAGACGGGGTGTGAGGGGATGTTCCAAGAGGGTACATCACGAGTAATGTGCAGATGTGTCTGTATGGAGGATGTATGGGTGCACACAAGCGGTTATACCAGATTGTAAGTGTGTGGGGCTGTGCCAGAGGTGTATGTATGTATACAAGTGTGAGTTGGTCTAGGTATGAATCTGAGTGTGTATCTCCATGTGTCTGTGACTCCACGTGTGTGCACAGACACATGCATGCACTTGCAGGGCTGCAGGAGAGGGTGCAAGGCTTCCATGTACAGTTGTGCGGTCTGTGTACTGCACAACTCCAGAGGACACCATCCAGGAAAACAGGCGGCATGAATGATGTTTCCTGGAGTTGTGCGGCACGGTGGTAGCCCGCGTGGGAAGATGCCTATCAGGAAATGAGTATACAGGTGGAGGTGTCTGCGTTGGGGGTGGTGCACATACCTGTGGGTGGAGGTTTGTCTGGGAACATTGCCGTCTGAGGGTGATTGTGTCTCTGAGAGTGTGCCGAGCCTCTGAGAATGTGACTGTCTCTAAATGTAGGTTTGCCGTTGTGTTCCTGCAAATGATGTGTGTGGTTGTGGGTATGATGCGAGCATTTGCTTATGGGTTTCTCAGGGTAGGTTTGTGTCCAAGGCCACATGGTATTTGTGTTTGTCTGAAAGTGTGCCCGTGGGTGTGTGGAGTGTGTGCAGCATATCTGGGTGTGTGTCCCCAGGTGTGTGTCTCCGTGCCTGGGTGTGAGTCTGTGTTCTTGGGAGGGCTGTGCCTGAAGGCGTTCCTATCTCCGTGTACTCAGCTGTATACCTGCGAAAGGGCTGGACTTCGGAGTTGTGACTGTGTGGTGTGTGTTAGTGCGTGTGTTGGTATAGAAGGTGCATCTCGGTGTGTGTGAGTGTGTGGACTGTCTGGGCGTGTGTCTTTGTCTCTGGGTGTGTCCCTGGAAGGGACGCGTCCTGTCGGGGATGTGCGTGCCTCCCTGCCTTTCCCCGGCAGCCCCACCTGGGTCCTGGCTCAGGCCCGTGGATTCCGATGCCCCTTTAACGCCCCCCCCACCCCCGGCACCACCTGACGTCGCATGCAGCCTGCCAGTGCTGCAGTGAGCACGCACACGCACACACACAGGCGCGCACACGGAGCCCAGAGCCTCCGAAGCCACCTCCCGGGACCCTCGCCCTGCCCCCCCATGGGCAGGGGTCCCAGGCCACCTCCAGCTACTGCCGCGGGGGGGCCCATCAGGGCCGGGGGCTGGCAGACCATGTAACCAGGGCTGCTATCGGGAGCGCGGAGGGGAGGGGAGCCCCCAGCCCCGCTGGGCCGGCCCAGGCCCCTCCGCGGCTCCCCCTTGCACTGCCCACCTGCCCTGAACCCCCCCCCCCCCCACCAAACCCACAGTGGCTGTTAACCCCGGGACTCCCCAAGCCCAGCCTCTGTGTGCGGCAGCCCCGAGCGGGGCTAAGATTCCAAGATGCCCTTGGTGGATTTCTTCTGTGAGACCTGCTCCAAGCCGTGGCTGGTGGGCTGGTGGGACCAGGTAGGGGGAGTCGGGGTGGAGGATGGGCGGGAGACTCGGCCCTAGCCCTCCCACCTTGGATCCTCAAGCCCCTGGTCTGGGCGGGTGTGTGCGGCTGTGCACGTGTGTGGCCTGGACATGAAGCCTTGTGACTGTCTGTGTCTGTGTGTGGCCCGGGGCTGGGTGGGGATGGCGGGTGGCTGGGGATGTGGGTCTCTTGCTGGGTGTGTCGGTACTCACGTGTGTATGTGTCTACAGCGGTGCGGGGCTGTCTGACCATATGCTTCTTTGCCTGGGTCACGGTGTGGCCCTTTCTGAGATCACATGGCTCTGGTTGTGGTGGTGTATGTTGGGACGTGTTTGTGAACCCAGAGCTGTGTGTTTTCTCCGGGGCGTGTGACCCCAAGTGTCTGTGACTGCCTTATCGTGTGTGTCCCTTGATTTGTGTGTCTGTGGCTGTGCAGAGCCGTGTAAGATGGTAGTCTGTGACTCTGTGTGTGGTTGTGTGACTTTGTGGGTCCTTCTTGCGTACGTGTCTCTCGCAGCACTAGGAGGAGTAAGTGCCCCATCCTGGTGTGGGCTGCGTGGGCTCACCCTTCCCATCCAGTGTCCCTCCTGCCTCTGGACGGAGTCTGCTCTGCTCTGGGGGTGCTTCAGTGGAGCTTGGGGGCGGGGAACCAATGCCCTTTTTCCACCCTGCACAATGTCACAGCAGACACTTGTGTGAGGTGGCTTGGGGGGACCAGGAGGGACCTCCAAGCCTGGTCCGGGGTATCCTCTGCTCATCTGTGCATCTGTCCACCCTCCTGGGACTGGGGGAGAGGGGGCTATGATGGGAACCCCCCTCCCCTGGATGACCGAACAAGGTCTCCTCAGCTCACTGTTCTCCCCTGCCCCTGCCAAACCTTCTCTTCTCCCAGAACTTGCATTCTCTCCTGCAAAGGAGAGACCGTATTGTCTCCTTCCAAACTGGGCTGGGAGCGGGGGGCCTGGACGCCCTGGGAGTGGGGTCCATATCTGGGAAGACGTGGGCCAGGGTAGCTCTGGGAAGGCAAGGGTTAAGGGGCCTGCGGCCCCAGCTCAGCAGCTGGTTGGAGGGGGAGTTGCTAAGGAGACTCCCATCGCCATGGCGACGGGATTCTCCTGACACCCTATTGGCTCACTGTTAAGCGGGAGCCCCTCCCTTCCACAGGTGCCCCTCTGGCTCCTCCTTTGGGCTGGAGGAAGAGGAAGTCTGGGGAGGGGTGCCCCCCTTCCTCAGGAAGGGAGGGGTATGCTGAGTCCTGACTTCCAAGCCTGGTGCCCCCCTCCAGACCTGGGAGGAGAGGAAGGGCTGACCCCTCCCCTCTAGCAGCTTGCTGAGGGCTCTGTTGGCTGAGCAGAGAAGTTGGAAGGACTCATGGGGTCTTCAGAAGTTTCTCGGGAGGGGCTGACATCCTCCACCCTCTGCTGCCCTGTCTCCCCATCATTCCTTCCTTCTTGCCTCCTTCACCTTAGTTCAAGAGGATGTTAAACCGTGAACTCACACACCTGTCAGAGATGAGCAGGTCAGGAAACCAGGTCTCTGAGTACATCTCCACCACATTCCTGGGTGAGTGAAAGGCACCGCTCGTATGTGCGGGGAGAGGCTGCACGCCTGAATTGGAGGGGGCTGCCCCAGACCGCAGGTCCCATTGCCCACATTTGCCCGAGGGACCCTGACTCTTAATTCCCTAAAGATCAAGGTTACCACGCTCAAGCGTTCCCATGCTCACGATGCCCCTAAACCCAGAGGGATGTCAACTTTTATAGAACTTCCACATTAAAAAAATCTCTCCAAGCAGAAAAGCCCCCCCAAACTCAGTGGGACCACAACGGAACTCTCAAACTCAAGGCCCCAAAAACCCCACAAACTCAAATAGAATTTCTAAACTTTAAATGCCTCCAGGCTGAAAGGCCTCCCCAAATTCAGTAGATTATCCAAACTTGGATTTCCCCCCACAAATTCAGGAGACCCCTCAAACTCAAGAGGTATGCTCAAACTCGGTAGGGTTCTCAAACTTAAGGGAACGGCTGTCCTTAAGAACTCATAAAAGACCCCCTCAAAGTTTCAAAACCCTCCAAGCTGAAAGGTCTCCCAAATTCGGGAGAATCACCCAACTTGATATGACCCTCAGATTCAGTAGGACCCCCCACACACACAGAATTTTGATACCTAATACAGTTATACAGAGTACCTCAAATTCATTAGAACCCTCAAGCTCATGGGGACCTCCAACTCATCCTAATCTCTTTATCCAAGAGCCCAAGCTGAAGATATGCCCCCCCAAATTCAGGATAATTTTACCCTCTCAATTTATCACCAAAGGTTTCCAAATTCTGGAGAACCACCCTACGCCAAGCCCAAGAGAAGGGTTCAGAGTTTCAAATACTCCCGCCAATGGGGGTGTGGCCGTGCAGAGTTCTGAGATCCAGCCAATGGGAGCATGGCATGCAAATAACCCCTATTAGGCCCCGTTATTGACTGGCAGGGCCCCAGGTCACAATGGGTGGCCCAGGTTCAGCTCTGGAAGCCCTTGAAAGCTCAGGAAAAGGGATCCTGGGGCTGGCCCCCCAGGCAGGCTGGTGTTAAAGGGGTGGGGTGGGGGTGGGGCTCATGGAGCCAGAGACTACCCTTCCCTCCCTCTTCCCCATGCTGTCCACCCCGATCAGCACTCTTAGTCACCATGGAGGTGTCTCCCCTGCCCTAGAAGTTCCCCTGCCTATACAGGACAGGCAGCTACTCTCTCCAGCATCCTCAACCTGCTTCCTGACTTCCCGTGCCACCCCCTTGTCAAACCTGGCTATCAGACTGGGGCCATCCCAATGCTCCGGGCCAGTCCCAGGGTCCCTGCTCCAGCCCACCACCTCCCAGAAGAATTCCTCCCTTCCCTCTGGTTTCCAGCCTATAAGGAACCAACAGCATGACATCCTGAAGGGGTCTGCCCTCCTGCGTGAGCCTTCCCAGGGCACAGTGGGGAGCCCAGGAGAAGTGAGGGCCAGATGAGGGGGTCTCTGTGGGAGTCTCATGCTTGTCTCTCCTCCATCTGCTCCAGACAAGCAGAATGAAGTGGAGATTCCATCACCCACGATGAAGGATCGAGAAAAACAGCCAGCTCCCCGCCAGAGACCTTCCCAGCAGCCCCCGCCCCCTGGGCCGCAATTCCAGCCCATGTCTCAGATCACGGGGGTGAAGAAGCTGATGCATAGTAGCAGCCTGAGTGACTCTAGCATCCCCCGCTTTGGGGTGAAGACCAACCAAGAAGAGCTCCTGGCCCAAGTGAGTAGGGTCTCAGCAGACACTGGACTAGAGAGGGGAGGGAGTCTCCTGGGGCCCAGAGAAGGACCGGGCGTTGGGTCAGTCTGAAATGATAATCCAGGCATACTTGGCTTATGAGACTCTCAGGAGAGCAAGAGTGAAGGAAGCAGGAGAGGAAGAAGCTAAGCAAGGAGGTGGCCTCAGAATCTGGCCTCTGCCTGACTCCACAGGGAGCTCTGGAGTGTCAACAGTGCCACAGAGTTGAGCCCACCTTGAGGCAAGAGTGCGGGACTTTTGTACCCCACTGTGGGCAGTCCCCAGAGTGGACAGCATTACCGCCTCCATGTAGCTCCCATAGGGGCAAGAGCAGTTTTCTGGAGAACAGAGCAGCTGTGAGTCTTTGTAAGCAACAGTCCCAGCACCCACCCAGGAGGACAGGTGCACTGGTCAGTGAAGGGGATCTGGGTCGAACCCCAACAGCATCCACTACAGGCCAGACCTGGGTTCAGCTCCGTGACACCTAACGCCAAGGGGCTCCCACATGGGTTTGTACAGCGGACTCAGTGCACTCTTGTTGGCTCAGTCAGCTGACATTTGTTGTAACCTGAACTCCAGCACTAGCCAGTGCCCAGTCAGTCACCCGGTGTTTACTGAGCACCTACTGTGTGCTGGCACCGTTCCGGATTCTGGAGAGCCATGGAAAATTAGCCCGAGTTCCTTTCCCCCTGGTGCTGGTGAGCTATTTGGCTCCGAAGCCAAACTGTGCTTTTGGGGTCAGCCAAACGGAGTTCACACCACAGCGTTGCCACTTGCGAGATGCAAGGGCTTGGGTAGGTCACATGACTTCTGAGCTTTGGTTCTCCAACCAACCAAATGAGATCAAGCATTTAGCATAATGCCTGGGAGACAATAGTCACTCAGGGGGCGCCTGGGTGGCTCCTCGGTTAAGGTTAAGCGTCAGACTTCGGCTCAGGCCATGATCATACAGTCCGTGGTTTGAGCCCCGCATCGGGCTCTGTGCTCACAGCTCGGAGCCTGGAGGTGGCTTCAGATTCTGTGTCTCCCTCTCTCTCTGCCCCTCCCCCATGCACACTCTGTCTCTCGCTCTCAAAAATAAATAAAACATTAAAAAAAATTTTTTTTAAAGTCACTCAGTACACAGGCGCTGTGGTTGCTTTGTTATTTTCTGGCCTGGTCGGACGTGGACAGTCAACTCTGTGTGTTGAGCACAGCGCCCACCCGGTGGGCAATGACAGTGCTACTTTCAGACCAGAGCTCTGAATTGTTAGGAAAGAGTCGAGAGGGGTGATGATCAACCAAGAAGAACTTCTTACCCACGTGGGTAGGGGCAGGGCCCTGGGTCTTGTGGGCTGCTGACCTCTGGCCTCCTACTCCACCCAGGAACTGGAGAACCTGAACAAGTGGGGTCTGAACATCTTCTGCGTATCCGAATACGCCGGAGGCCGTTCCCTCAGCTGCATCATGTACACGATATTTCAGGTAGGGCGGGCTGAGTGGGGCAGGGTGAGCGGAAGGGGGCCGGGCGGAGAGCAGAGCTCTCGGGAGTCACCGTTCCCCATACCTACCCTCAGGAGCGTGACCTGCTGAAGAAATTCCGCATCCCAGTGGACACCATGGTGACATATATGCTGACCCTGGAGGACCACTACCACCCCGATGTGGCCTACCACAACAGCCTTCACGCGGCCGATGTGCTGCAGTCCACCCACGTGCTGCTGGCCACACCCGCGCTAGATGTGAGCACTGCCTGGCCCCTGTGTCTCTCCAGCCCCGTCTCCCTCCCTGACTGCCCGTTGCCCATCTCCTGACCTCCGTGTCTCTCTGACGCTGGCCTTCCCGGTCCTCATCGATCCCTCCTGACCGTCTTCTTTGGCACCCGCATCTCTCTCTCACCGTCTCTCAGATCCCCCATCTTTCTAACCCGCCTCTCTCCCACCCCCCTCTCTGCCCCTAGGCTGTGTTCACGGACCTGGAGATTCTTGCCGCCCTCTTCGCGGCCGCTATTCATGACGTAGACCACCCTGGGGTCTCCAACCAGTTCCTCATCAACACTAGTGAGTGGCCCCCACGGGGGCGGGGCCTGCCGGGTTGGAGGCGGGGCCTGCGCTGCCCCACCCCTCGAGGCGGCCCTGCCGGCCCCACCCTCCCCTGACCGCCTGCCTGGGCCTGGGCCACAGATTCGGAGCTGGCGCTCATGTACAACGATGAGTCGGTGCTGGAGAACCACCACCTGGCCGTGGGCTTCAAGCTGCTGCAGGAAGACAACTGCGATATCTTCCAGAACCTCAGCAAGCGCCAGCGGCAGAGCCTGCGCAAGATGGTCATCGACATGGTGGGCGGGGCGGGGGCGGGGCCAGAACGGAAAAGG